AAAAAAATACAAAATAATGCCAGATTCAAGTTTGGCGGCGGCCGCAGCAGCGGGGAGCTGCGCATACACCCCGCTGCAGCGCGCAGCCCGGTGCAAAAAACAGAAGGAAATAAAAGTATTTTTGAATTAAAAGTTTTTAAAAAAGAATAAAGTTGAATGAGCTTTGTTTGAAGCGCAGAAACCACTTAATCGCACAGCGGGAGTCACCTGGTCGCTCTCTTCTATGGGCAAGCCCACTCCCGGAACTTTAAAAGTTTGAACATTTTCTTCGCTTTTGTTTTCAAACAAAACTCCCTCTGGCGCCACTTTGGGAGGGGGAAGTTGAACAGCGTTTCGGGTGGTGGGAAACGCGGAAACGTTGGCTTCGGTTTCGGCGGCAGTTTTCGTTTCTGAATGGAAAGCTGCGGATTCGCAGGGAAAAGGAACTGGAAATGAGACCAGTAACAGAGAGATAGTGAAAAAAAAACTAAAAGAAGGGCTGAGGCTTTTCATTTTTGAACTAATTTCCACGTCGTTCGCTTTTTTTCGGGGTGAAAGCAATGAGGGTTTCAACGCCCTTCGTGCAACTTGCTGAGGTGTCTGTACACCCGAGACTCCGGCGAGTTCGTTCAAGTTGAACGGCGCAACAATCGCGTTAATGTCAAAATTTCATTTGTTCTTTTGTTTCTATTTTATTTAAACGCTGTTTCGGAGTCCCTAGCCGCACACGCCGCAGGTGCCGCCGATCCGGACCAAAGGAGGCGCTGGGCCTCGCGTTTGGAGGCGGATCCGCGGCATTTTTGAGCAATTTCGAGTATTTATGAGTTTAAAAAATCGAAATTTGAATTTTATTTTCAGAATTTCAAAGCGGCTGCGCCGATTTGGAGTTTCGGGGGTCGAACGAACCAGTGACGTACACCGCGTCGCGGCGGGCAGGCGGTCGTCGGGCGGCGGGCGGCGTGCCCGGGGGTGTTTTTGGAGTTTCTGGAGTAAAACTGCAAATTAAAAGTCAAATTAAAACTAAAAATTTAAATCAAAACAAATTAAATCGAAAAGAAGCCTCGGGGGTCGCGGGCGAGCCGCGCGGGACGGCAGAGGTGGAGCGAGCGGCGGCGGGCGGCGGCGAGGGGCGCGGGGGCAGAGAGGTGGAAAGAAAAAAGTTGAATTTGAATTTAATTTAAAGTCTTTAATTTCACTGAGACAAAAGTAGTTCTGCTGCAGGCAGCAGCCCCCGAGGTGACCCCAGGGGGCAGCATCTGCTGCAGCACGTCTCTGCAGCAGCAGCAGGAGGATTTCGGGTGTCTCAGGAGAGAGCAGCAAGAGTTGAAGGGAAAAGCGAGGGTTTGCTGCGCGGCGCGCGAGGGTTTAGGGTTTAGGGTTTAGGGTTTCGGGTTGAAGCAGCGCGAGAGCCAGCGGGCCCCTGACCACCGTGCTAGACATGTGTGTCGCTGCTGCTGCTGCTGCTGCTGCTGCTGCTGCTGCGCCGAGGTGTCTGTACACTGCAAAACTTTGTCGGTTTCTTCGTTCGGGCCTTCAAATTGAAAGCATTTCTTTAAATCGCTCTCTTTTGAGTCCCCGCTGCTATCCTCTGCAACAGAAGCTGTGCTGCAGCTCTTGGGCTTTTGCTGCTCTGCTGCAGCAGCTGCAGCAGCATCGCATCGCCCTATCTGGTGCGTCTTTGTTTCGGCTTTCTTTTTTCCCTTCTGACCCCCCTGGCTGCTGCTGCTGCTGCTGCTGCTGCTGCTGCGTGCGCCAGCAGCTGCTGCGCTCCGGTGTACATACACCGCAGCCGCCAACCCCCTTGGCTATCTCGCCGCTCACATGTTTCATTTTCTTTTTTTCTAGTTCTTCTTTTCTCCCCGGGGCCCCTCCTGCTGCTCTGCTGCTGCTGCTGCAGCAGCCAGCAGCAGCTCCTTTGCTGCCTCTTCCCTCAGCAAGTCTCGCCGCCTCCGGGCTCCCGCTGCTGCTGCTGCTGCTGCTGCTGCTGCTGCTGCCCGCCGCCCCGCGCCAGGTGTACGTACACCTCACGCCCCACACGGCCGCCCCATCGCAGCAGACGCCTCCAGTCTGCAGCAGCAAAAGGCGGACTTTCTTTTCTTTGTCTCCAGCTAGCTAGCTAGCTGTTGGCTAGCTGCGCCTCTTGTCTTTGTCGGCCTGTCAGCTCGCAGCCCCCAGCCAGCTAGCTAGCTAGCTAGCTAGCTAGCCAGCTAGCTAGCTAGCTAGCTGGCCCCCCGGCGGCCCCAGCCAGCCAACTCGCCCCGCTAGCTAGCTAGCTAGCTAGCTGGCCAGCGCCCCAACTGTTTCCCGCTGCTAGCTAGCTGCCGGCTAGCCAGCTAGCTAGCTAGCTAGCCAGCTAGCCACTCCCCAGCAGCCCTGCTTCCCCTTGGCCTCCCCACACCTATGCAGCCTCTTTGCCAGCCCCCAGCCTTGGGGGCCCCCCACCCCTCTTTGTCTCTCCGCAGCAGTTCGGGGGGCCCCCCAATGGGTCCTGTGGGGCCCTTTTCCTCTGAGAGGGGCCCCC